GGGTAGGATGGATTTGATTTCCTGATGGAGCGAATACTGGGGATACAGAGAGGAAGAAGTCAAGTCTGAGTGAGTGACTGTGACTGGGGATGTCTTCATTCAGAGTGAGCACAGGAGAAGGCGCAGCTTGTGGCAAGTTCCGATGTGGTTCTTAATAGGGTTTTCCTCTGGGGCTGTGGTTGTGGCTGCGATCACAGGTGTATCTGTGGCCCGATGCGCCTCAAGAGGGTTTTCCAAAGCGGACAAGTAGGGGGCTGACACGGGGGAGAAGGAGATGAAGACAAGGACCATCTTATTGGAAGTGTCCCTGAGTCATGAAACTCTTGCAAAAACGTATCACACTTCAAGAGAGCTATGAATTCAGGCAGTAGTACTTCCTTCCGTAGGACGAAACTTTCTCTGAGGAGGAAGAATCCAGAGCTCAGAAACACTGCATTTTCCTCTCTGCAATCACTTTGACAAAAAAGGAAAACAACAGAAATACCTCCTCTCTGTGAAAATAGAGAGTTGAGTCGCTCTGCGGGTTCCTAAGCGCTTGGTCTGAATTATAATTTGGACTTGTCACCTGATGGCAGATCTCCCAGCCTTTGGCGAGCTCAGTTTCCCGGGCTGGGTTTGCAGGTCTCTGATGTTCATTGCCTCTACCTATAAGGATTGATTTAAGGCTCTGCAATATTTATCTTTTAAACCATTTGTGTTTGTTTGCTTGACAATCAAGCCGCAATTTAGAAATGCTGCTTCCTGAAGCTTTACAGACTAATGTAATTTCACAATTCCAATTACAAATGAGAAAAATTATCTCATCCCCAAACAGAAGAGCCAGCCGTTTCTGAGAAACCATGGTTAACAAGAAGACAAAATACTTTCTGAAAAACAGGCCACGTTATTAATGGCTTCCTCAGCTCAAATCTTGCTGACTCTCAGCACCAAGAATCTTCGTCTTGTGGGGATGCTGGTTTTGATCATCTGTAAAGTAGGTGATGTTCAGATTGATAAACCACTACTTCTGCTGTGCCCCGGTCTGCCGCTCCCACGACCTCAGTGGTTTGTAAACCAATGCAAAGGTGTCCACTTACCAATAGATACATCCCCCTGCCACTTCCTCTGAACCTATATTTTATGGAATCACAGAACTTTAGGTGGGGACTTCACAGTCATTCCGTTTAACCCTTCATCTGATACTTTGAATACCTCCTCACCATCCCTGCCCAGAGGCAGCTGCCTACTGCTTAAATATTTCTACGGATGGAGAGCTCACTACCAGACCTTTCCACGAGAATCTACTAATTTTGCTCAACTTTAAGAAGAGTGTAAAGACTGGTGACTTCTCAAGGACGTCTTCATTAACATCGAAAATCTCCCAACTGGTCTTTTCCACTTGGGTTCATATCTTTGTAATGGTACCTAACTGAGGTATCTCAACTAGAATATCAACAGAATGAACTTTTAAGGAAAAAACCTGATCTTTGCTGTCCTGCAGCTCTATTTTATGGCCATTACTAGGTTGCCGCTCCTAGGAGGTAAAGACACTAGATTTTTTTTCTTGTCTGCTTAAGTCAGCCTCTTATCTCTGTTGGCTCTATTGCTGTGATGGCTTACAGACAGGTAAGCCCTGGCCATTCCCTCCCATCCCAGAATAGTGACTGGCACTTAGGGAGCCTTCAAAAAATGTAGCCTGACTGCCTAAATGAATGGATGAGCTAATTAACTGCCACAGTGGATGAACCCCTTGTCTTACCTTTACAGACCTCCTCTCTACAGGTCCTAGTGATCCCATTTGTGGATGGAGAGAGTTTAAAATGATTTTTAATCTGGGATCACAAAAGGCTGTTATTTTAGGATTGAAAACATTGTCTTATGCCTTAAACTCAAGACCATCTTCCTGCAAGGTCTTATCAAATCTTTAGCTTCAACAGAAGACAAGAATGTTATATCAGAGGCTAGAAGTCTAGGGGGTGGAGTCCAGCACTTTATTCTCATTTGTTAGCACCTGGACTATTGCAGTAGCATAGTCACTGATCTCTGCCCTTTGGACTTTTCCTCCCCCAGCTACCCAGTATGCTACAATGACACAAATCTCCTTATAACACAGCTTTTGGTGACTCCCTTTACCCAGAGAACTATGGAGGAATAAGATTTTTGTTGTGTTTTAAATTTACTTTATTAAAAATCTCTTTTTACTTTACTAGCAAAATTAATTTTTCAAAGAGAAAGACTTTATAACCTTTAACCTAACTTAATAAGAGAATGCACAATTCTTACCTTCTGGTTGGGTGTAATTATAATGACATCAGTGAAGGTAGAATTAAGAAGTTAAATTTCATGAAGTCGGTGAGGCCATTCATCTCCCAATGACAGAGTTCACAACAAATGAAGTCACCTAATTTTTCTACAACAAGCATTCTTTACACATACAATTTTCTCTAACAAAATGAAAGTTTCAAAGTTACAAGTTAACATGTCTTAGAAGATAACTTTTAAAACAAACTTCTGAATGAACATTGAAGCAGATTTCTTTCCTCCTTTTAGTCAATAGATCTGGGATAAAAATTAAACTTTTTGGTGACAAGAGATGGAATAAATATAGATTTAACTGAAATGTTATGATAATTGGTATGTAAATATTATCTAGTCTTTTTTTCTTATCTCTTTAAACAAAGAATAATGGCTAACTCAGTACCTTGTAATGCTCAAAAGTCCTTAGGCCAACCGTTTCTTGAGTCCAAATAAAGTACCATTAACCTGTGACCTATGATTTGATCTATAATGTTAACCAAAGATGAATCAAAATTTCTATAATTTGCCTGTAATTTGGTGTTTCCATAGAACCATAACCTGACATCTCCCACTACATTTAAAGAATTTTCCTTTTCAGTGTTATCTCCCATTATTCTACTTCCAAGAGACGATTCTATTTACCCAGGTCCGTGTACTCTAAATCACTTTCGGCTCTCTAAATCCCCACTCTCCCTATGGTGTTATTATTTTCTCATCAGTGACCATCTTAAATAACAGCTCTTCTATTCATTCCACCAAGATTTACTGAGTTGCTATCAGGATCCATGGACTGTGAGATTTAGGCTGGCTGTCATGAAGTTTATACTTGGGTTGGATGAATGGACATGAATTAATTACACTAATTAGAATTTAATTACAAACTGACATTGGTGCTCCAAGAGAAGGGGCACAATTCTGTCAGAGCCTCCAAAGTCTTCCATGAATCTTCCAACCATAGGTCATTTCTCCCTTCTGAAGCCCTCATGGCATTTTGTGACTCTACCAGTTGGGATTGTCTGGTTGTGAGCAACAGAAACCTATTCTGGTAAATTTAAGTAAAAATAAATGTATTTGGAAGATAGGGAGTAGTTCAAGAATCAGAGGAAAGGCTGGGGAACTGGGCTTCAGGGAGACTCAGCATAGTCCTGGGTGAGGAGGCAGCAGCCACCCATGGGGAGCCTGCACAGGGCACGTCTGGGCAGGCAGATGAGCTCTGCGGTCAGACTGGACCCACCACTTACTGGCTGTGTACACTTGGTCGTGTCCCTCTGTCTCCTCATCAGCAAAATGGGGGAAATAACAGTGTCTACCTCTTAGAGAGTCATTGGGAAGATTGGCTGAGGTAATTCATGCAAGACCCTTGAAACAGTGTCTGGCATCTTGTAAGCACTCAATATGTTAGCAATGTCTGCAATTACTGTTATTAAAATTCCCTCAAGTTTCAGATCTAGACGTTATCCTAATTAGGGTCAGTACCCAGCCCTTGTCCAGAGGAGGGCAGGGAGCCTTATGACAGTGTCCCTAGGATCACGTCCCATAGCAGGGTGGCTCCCCAGGGTGCTGTGCCAGAAGAAGGTGTAGCTGGTGGGCTGGCAGAACGAGAGACGGTGCCTGCTTCTCCCCCGTTACCTTATTCTGTCTCTGCCATTGCCGTTTATTTTGTTGCTGATCACCTGTCAGATATTAAGTGTCTCGTGGGTGAGAACCATATATTGTCTCTGTACCTCTAGAAATACAGTGCCTTCCACATCAAAGATGTTCAACACCTATTTGTTGTACTCAGTTAAGATGAAATTGGTATACATGATTTCTATCTCAGCTCTAGAAGCACTAGGTGGAGATGGCTTGAAATTTTGGGTGGGTTTTTTTTTTTTGATCCTTCAACATTTGCCATTTTAAGAGAACTACAGAAACAAAGCTGTGTAAGACTTCAGAACTTTCCAGGTATTTCCTGAGACAGCAATACCAAGAGAGTTAACCCTGATTTGCAAAGGTTTTAATTAATTTAAAATGAAAGCCGTGGTGCACAAGGATGCAACTGGAAAGTTGCTCATTTCTTTACTGTTTATGCTAGTGGAAAATGTCCATTGATAGGAGTATGACTAAATGAACAAATATGTCCATAATAGAGAATACTATAAAACAGCTACAAATAATTATGCTGATCCCTATATGTAATAAGATAAAAAGGGCTCCAAAAAATACTGGCAAGTGAAAAAAAATTTAGGTACAGAACAATATATGCAGTACAGTCCCCTTTTATAAAAAGGCAAAAACCAAAATGACACTATGTTGTTTATACTGATACAAACATATGTAAAACATATAAGAAAATCTTGAAGGATTATCATCACAGTGTGATGTTTTACTTAAATGAAAAGCCAAATCGAAATGATACTACATGTTTTACACAGATATGTATACACACACACACATGTATATACATATATACACACATATATACATATGTACATTTTTATATGTATATACACATACATACGTATAGAATAAAATAACCGGTTGTATCTAGGGAGTGGGAGTTGGGGGAAGGACCAGAAGTGTAAACAATGATGTTCTAAGGAAGTCTTAACCTAATTCTTAATATTTACATTTTTTTACAAGAAGAATATATTCATGAATAATTTATTTAATGAAACATTATTTAAAAAAGAAAAACTGAAAAATGAGAATGCTCAGATGCCTCTGAACTGCCTTCCTTCCAGAATGCCGGGACATTCTGCTTCCTGTCATCACCAAGGAACTGAAGGAGCTGCTGGAGCAGAAGGATGAGATGCAACACCAGGTCCAGGAGAAGAAGTACTGTGTCGAATTACTGAACAGCATCTTGGAGGTCCTCAGCTGTCAGGATGCGGTGAGTCCTCACGATGATGTAGATGTCCTGGACTCAGACTAGGGCTGAGTTGATTAAGTTCTAAAATATTGATGCTGATGAATAGCAGTTGAAGTCTAAAGATAAAAGGCAGAGGCTTTCTCAGCGGGCCAGCTTTTCCAGGGACTAACCCCCCTGGCTGTGAAAGATGGTTTCGGGATTGGAGTTAAGCATGTAGCATTTTGTCACCATATTTCTTGTTGGACAGGCCTTCTCAGGGTGTAGGTATGGACATATTGCAAACTTTTTACTTGCATAGCCGAGAAGACCCAATTATCTGCTTTCTTGGCTGATTTTCCTTGGTTTTGTTTCTCCAGTGATGGTGGAAATGGTTAAGACTCTGGATGAGCAGATTGCTCCGGGCTAGACTCTAGAGAAAGGGTGAGGAGTGAGATGGTGTTAGGGAGATGGCTGTGGCAGTGAAGCCAATGTATATTGGTAGACATCATTCAGAGATTAGGCAGGGATGAGACCAAAAGGAAAATCTCAGTGGGAGTAAGTGGAGGGCTTCCAAGGGACAGAGTCTGCCGAAGACAATGAGGGAGATGGAATAGTGACAACGGTAAAGACTGAGAGACAGTTATAATACACTGGCCTAGAGTTCTTATGACTTGGAAGACAGAAATGAGGGTTCTTGATTTGACTCAGGTTCCTTTGCAACCTGACCTTGTCCTTGAGTAATGTCCAGGAGTATCTTCCCCTGGATGGGCTGGTTTCAGAGGACTGGGTAGACCCAACAACCAGTAAACCTTTTCTAAGTATTTGTGTGACCATTCTCTCTACCCCAACTCTCCTCCCTAGCAAATCCTCAGAGAAGGGCTTCCTGGATGAACTGTATCTATGATTGACTTTATTAGAAAACTCTGCAAAAACAATATTTTCTTCCTACTCATATCCCAGAGTCAACCATTATTATCAATTTCCTTGTTTGTCTCTCTTCTGTCTTTTCCTTTCCACACTTACCATCCTAATTAAGCTTTTTCTTATCTCATTTCTAGGTGAATGCATAGCTAGCTTGCTTCATTCATTCATTCATTCATTTGTACATATGATGTGCCATGTTTGTGCCAGGCATTGGGGACACAGAGGCATGTATTTTTCCTTAAGAAAATGCTTATAGACGTATAAATAAGCAGTTGCAATATAATAGAATGAGTAAAATCTAGATGCATACTGGAGCTGCAAAGATCATGTGTGTGTGTAAGCACTGTTGTCAAGGGAGCTTTCTCAAGGGAGGTGGAGCTTCAGCTGGGTGTTCAAGAGTGAATAATTAATAATCACAACTGTTTCTTCATTTGCTGTTTTTCAGTCACTGTGCTAAATGCAATCCCGGTCATCTCTCTGCTCACCCTGATCAGTGCTAACAATAAGTCCCATTATTATTCCCATTTTATAGATGGAAACCTGAAATTCAAAGACAAAGTTCAAGGCCAGACAGCCAATAAACGGCAGGGTCAAAATTCAAACTCAGGGTGGTCAGACTCCAATGTCTGCATAATCATAGGCACTGGGGATACAGAAGCATGGTCTTCTCCTTCTCATTTTTTCTATGCTCGTCCTTTTTGGGGGGAGAGGGAGTGTAATGCGTCAGAGCTTGGGTGCTTACAGTTCACTCTGTGAGGATGCCATGATGATGGTAATGTTTTCATAAACATTTTCAGTAGCCAGCTGTTGGAACTTGTTCCAGCTTTTGCTATTTGATCTTTGAAAAAAAATTTAAGGGAGAGTTTGATCTTACTCTCACTTACAGTTTAAAAGCATGATGGTTGGCCCATCATTTCTCCAGAAACAGCCCCAAGAATGTTGTCTCTTCCTGTTGAGAAGAATGTACAATGCTTCCTTCACTTTAGTAATGCTCAGGTCTCTTTTCGTATGGGGGGAAAAAAAACCCTGGCTCCTTGGAACTGTGCTAGTGGACCCCAGTTTGAGGCACACACGTAATATGCTCTGCCAACTTCGTAATTTGGTTAGAAGGATGGCCCCTCTTCACAGCTCATCTGTTAAGCAGTGATGCTGAGACTCTGCCCATCCCATGGGAGTGGGCCCCCTGGAGTTCTGTCCTGACAGGTTGTTACCATTTTGCACATTGGGTAACACCAGACACTGGTGGAAAAAGGCTGCTCTATCATACACCCTAAGGACTTGAGTCTCCAAAGCCAAGAAGTGAGTGGGAGGCTCTGAGCTCCCCTCGGGGGATCGTGGCATCGGGACTTGAGGCATGTGGGAGGTGTGGTGTCACTCTTGACTGCCTCTGAGTGCATTGCTTTTATAATGACTTTGGAATGTGGGGACTAGCCCACCCCGTTTTCAGGATGAGCAACTGTCTTTGCTGATGAGTTGTTAAATACTGTTACCACCATTGGGTTTGGTACAATGTTCCAGTGCTTTTGGTGAGCTTTGCATCTGTCCTTTCTAGCTTATGAAGATGGAAAGCTCTCCTCTTCTCAAAAGCTTTTTCTCTGATGAAGATGATACATTAGTGACCATTATTACTTTGAGTTAAACTAAAAATCAGGAGTCTCAAAGTATCTAACCTAAATCCCTCTTATTCTAGTACATGGTGACTCTTAACTCTGGCTGCACGTTACACCACCGAGGAGCCTTGTTAAAAGCAGCTGTGCCTAGACTCCAGTCCTGGTTGTTCTGATTGAATTGGCCTGGGGTTGCCGAGGGCATCACAACAGCGTGTTCATCCGGGGATGACAACAGGCAGCCAGGGTGGAGGACCCCAGCTCTCGTGCGAAGGTCTTCAACTTGAGCAGGCATCCCAGTGACCTGGAGGAACCATTAAAACAGGTTTCCCATCATTGCATTTGGAGAAAGAGGCCCGATCATTTATTTTTCTAATAAGTTCCCAGGTGATGTGGATGCTGCTGGTCCAGGGACAACACTTTAAGAACCACCACTCTAATGTGACCTAATTTTTTTTTTCCATCTTCAGTATTCACTAGAAATGGAAGAACAGTTGGGCTCATCTTCAGTTCTTTACCTTCTTAATTGAAGAGCCCTTTCCAGTCTATAAAACCTGGCATCTTCCAATGTGGCATTTAATAAACCGTAAAATGGCGAAATGTTCGAGCACACTCATTTTTACTCCTAAATTCGTTTTTATGTGGTAGCGGGGACATGGCCTGTGCAAAGATCTGACTTTGAAAATCCAAGCCATCAGATGTGCTGTTGGTGTCTTCAGGCACCAACTTCTCAAAACTGGAAATTTGAAAGAAAAATTTTTTAAAAAAGGCTCTCAGAGTAAATGGCCTGGAGTTTTCTCTGGTGGTTTGGATCCTCTCCGTTGATAACAACATAGGCATCCATTTTTCTTTGACTGGCTCTTTCTTGGCACCATGAAATAGTCCATTCGTCCCACCCCCAGCCTAAGCATGGACCGTACCTACCTGCCTGAACCATCGCCAAGACGCAGAACCAGGAGTGGAAATTTAGCCATTATGGTGCAGGATGCCACCCTTCCTTTGAGGGGGCGTTGTGTGTTTGGGGGATGGGAAAGAATGCTTGTCTTCAATAGATCATCATTGTTTGGGTGATTACAACCCAGCACAGCAGGCCTGGCATGAGGAAGCTATGCTTTCCTGTTATTACCTTATTCTTTGTAACCTTGGGTGGCAGATGACTCAGGAGGGGATGTCCTTCTATGCCTGGGTGTTGATATTTTGTCATGACAGTGTTAAATTCCCTCACCCAGCTTCCTTGAGGTGCACTTACCCTATGGAAGGGACAGGCTCAGGAGAAGGATGCAAGGTCTGACTTCTGCCTCTGTTAACTCCTTTTCTCCCCGTCACTGTCACCGAGCAAGTTTTGTCAACTTAGGTTACTTTGAAAGGCGGTTTCACACTGGCTTCCTTCTGTGCCTTGCCGGCTGCTGAGTAACTCATAAAATTTAATTTTGTGCCAGACCCAGGGGAAGTTGGCTTTCCCTCTCTTTGAGATAGGCTTTTCTTTTTTATGTTTCATTCCTCTGACAGACAGGAGAGTCATTGTTCTGTACCCTGCTAAGCAGTCACAAAGTGGGGAAAGCTGACTCTTAATTCTGAAGAGGAGAGGGTGTTGGTTGTAGAACACAGAGAATGCACAGGATCAGCTAAAAAAAAAAGACCCTTTGAGCCCACTGTCTAAACTTGGGTTTTTCCGAGGCTGAAATAAATGCACAGCCTAAAAGTTGAGAGTTAAGTTTTATTTGGCGGGAAGACTCGAGCCGTGATGACAGCCTCTCAGATGGCTCTAAGGGACTGCTCCGAAGAGGCAGGGGATGAGCTAGGAGATACAGGAGCTTTACAACAAAGACCTGGTAGTCAGGACATTAAAAGACTATTTATTAACTAAAGAAAGCCAGACATCTCAAGTTAAAGAATTTAGCGCTTTTCTATGTATGGGAGGGAGCAAGCATCTGGGCTCATTGAATTCATTCCTTTGACAAGCACCTAGCTATCTAGGGCCAGTGTCCTGTCCTTTCTTATTCTGAGTCCCCTCAGAGGGCACCACTGTGAGTGGCTGCAGAGGCCGGGCTGCAGGCCTGTCCTCACTAGGGGGTGGTGACAGCTGCTGATGCCTTGATGGCTTCAGCGTTCTTTGTTCACTGATACGCTTTGCAGTTTACAGTATCTTTCGGTTGCAGTAGTCACAATTGGTTTGGGGTTTCTGACATTTTTATTCATCAGCTAAGACACTGGTAGAAAGGGCTTTGCTCAAGTTTTTTCTCTTGCTTGGAATGTCTTTCCCAATTCCTGTTCTTTTTTATGCAAGTAAAATCCTAAATTCCTTTTAGGTTCAGCTCAGATAATATTTCCTTTTTGAAATCTTCTCACTTCCGTGTCCTCCTCCTCTCCCCTCCACCTCGAGGCAGGTTTAAGGACTTCCTTCTGTGTGTTTTCATAACTGTGTGTTCAGGCTGATACCACAGCACTAGGTGCGTTGTTGCACTTTCCTGTGTGTGTCTCCTGCCAGGAACTTGAGCACAGAGGCTCAGA